TTGAGCCTCTGTTTGAAAGACACTAATTATACAGCCAGAGCAACTTAGTGAAGAATAATTTATTTACATAAATGCAGAAAATGGCTGAAAGGAAAGAACAAAATTTTCTGTGAGGAAGTGATACTGACTGCATACTTGATATTCTGAGAGATAATATACAACCTTGGAAGTGCAAAGAAAAAATTAATTAGAAGTTAATCCAGTCTTAGAAAAGAATATGGCAATTCACCAAATAATAAAATAGCTTGTTTTGGAAGACAAATGATAAAAAATCAAGCACTGTGAAAACTACTCTCAATAGATTTTACAAAGAAATGAAGCATTGCAAATTTCACTATTTTTTTTTAATTCCAGTGTACTGAAGATACATCTGCTATGATGCTTTTGCAATTCTCTACACATCTGTAGTAGAACATAAGAGAGCCTTCAGTGCTTTGGAAATCATTTTTAAGAAGTCACAGAATAACTGTGGTTTTCCCACTAATTATTAAGGATAGTTTGTCTTGTTTCAGATTTAATGGTTATTTATAATCTAACACTACTGTGCTGAGGCAGAAAATACCCTTTCATGTTTTATAAAGCAAGCTTTGGAGGATCTTATGCTAAGTTAAATAAGCCAGCCATAGAAGAACAGCCACTATATACTTTCACATACATATCATATCTATAATAGTCTAGCTTAGCGAACCAAAGACTGCAGCCATGGTTGTGAGAAGCTGAAGAATGAGGCATATGAATATGATATTTTAATTATGCTACACAAACAAATTCTGAATATTCTGTATGGTGAAGTAGTTGTAATTACCTAGATAGCATTTTCCACTTCACCATTTTTGAAGAGACTAGGTTTGTTTATTGCAAAACAAAGCCTCCCCCCCCCCAAAAAAAAAAAGACACAGGAAGCCTTTAGTGGGGAAAGTATATCAGGTCATGATTGCTCCTAGTAAAGCATCTGGGCAATGAGAATCAGGGTAAGATTATCAGCTGTTGCTGTGTATAATCTAGTGTATTTTGTAAAGAGAGTGTGTTGTCCCTCATACTCCGTGGGAAGAACTAATAGTTTCTGTTGTATATAAATTAAAAATCAAAGGATTTGACCAAAAGATAATCAAACATACTTGTCTGACACTTATACTTTTGAACTCAAACCTTCTGTCAGTGGAGAACTATCAATATCAGCATCTTAAAATGAATGCCAATGGCAGGACATTGACCCTAAGCCTTAACATGAGCTTTTGCTATATATGAGAATAGATATGAGAAATATCTGAAGGCCCTCAAACTTTTGTTTCTTTTTTTTTAAGAGTAGTAATAAGATCTAAAAGTTAGAAATTTTTATTCACTAAAAGAGATTGGTTCTCTACTCTGTTTTGTTTTTTGTTTCATAAAAATCAGGAAGAAAATTTAAGATCATTGAAAAAAAATATATCCCTTTTCATTTCCAATTCTATTTCATGAAACTCAACCAGAACAATACAATTTTAAAGTCTATGGGTATATTATATTATTATCACTATCATTATTATTTCTCCAAGAGGCTAAAAGAGGGTACCAGATCACCTGGAACTGGAGTTACAGATGTTGGTGAGACATCATGTTAATACTAGGTTGAATCTGGATCTTCTGGAAGATCTTTCAGCACTCTTAATTACTGAGCCACCACTCCATTCCCACTCTATGGCTTTGGGGTTTTGTTGGTTTTAATGAAACTGTGAGTCCTGTGAGTGCGAAGGAGTTGGAAAATGTATACCTAAATCCTTCAAAGGATGGTAGTAAGAGCAGGGTAGTGAGTCCTGAAAGGATACAAGATTGGGAACGCAGCTTTTGTGGATTCCAAAAATAACCAGAATTCTGAGCTTGAAGGCCACGCCAAAACTAAGGCCTTAAAATGAGCTCATGAGTTTACTTTTCCGTTGTTGATAGATGTGAATCTTAATGGTTACAGTGACATTTCCTGTATTCCCTGAAAAGCAGGGAGTGGGGTTTCCAAGCAAACATTTCTTCCTTTAAAAATAATGTTGGAGGAAGTCTCAAGACATGTAATGGTAATGTCTTATCATAACACACAGAGTCAAAAGATCATATATTGCTGAGATTATATTCTAGAAGAAAATGTATTTTCAAAATATCTCTACATTCGAAGTGGTAAAGATTAAGCTGCCATAAATCTATTCAAGACAGAGTTAGATAAACTGTTTTAGAGAGCTCCATAAGAAAGCTGCAGTTGAACTTGGAAATGCATAAATATTAGTCAAAGACTTACTTTTCAACAACATCAGTGCTTATATAGTCCAAGGGTTTCTGACACTTATACTTTTGAACTCAAACCTTCTGTCAGTGGAAAACTATCAATATCAGCATCTTAAAATGAATGCCAATGGCAGGACATTGACCCTAAGCCTTAACATGAGCTTTTGCTATATATGAGAATAGATATGAGAAATATCTGAAGGCCCTCAAACTTTTGTTTCTTTTTTTTTTTTTAAGAGTAGTAATACACAACCTCCGGACTACAGTTGATCCTGTTTGCAGAATGTGCTGGGATTGAAGCTTAGCAGAATTGTTGTCAGAGAGACCAGAGGGCCTTCATCCAGAAACTGGTGGGAGCAGATACAGAGTCCCACAGCCAAATAATAGGCAGAGTTTGAGGGAGAGGAGGAGAGAAGAGGAAAGATTGGAGGAGCCAAAGGCGAAAAGGAAATCATAAGAATATGCCTCACAAATTCAGCTATCAAGGACTCAAGTGGGATCATGGAGCCTGTATGGGTCTCTGTTATGGTTGTGTAGCTCATTATTCTTGGGGATTTCTGACAGTGGGACTCTTTGGGATCTTTTTCCTCCTACTGGGTTGCCTCATCCAGCCATGATGTGAGAATATGTGCCTGGTCTTAATGTAGCTTGTTACACTGTATTTGTTTGTTTGTTTGTTTGTTTGTTTGCTTTTTCTGAGGGGAAATAGAGGGATCATGCATCTAGAAACAAGGGGAAGGGGGAAGAAATTGAGAGGGTAGGGAGGACAAACTGAATTTGGGATGTAATACATGAGAGAAGAATAAATAAAAATAATACAAATAATACAAAATATTATAATAAACAAATGCATAACCAAATTGACTTAGGTGAAGTCCCAATTTCCTCTATAAATATTGTGACTCAGAGTTATCCAGTTGATAACTTACTAGCATGGAGGTATTGTACAGAGTTTTATATTCTGTTAGCTAGAATTCTAATAGAAGGAAGGAAGGAATAGTCTGTTCTAGAAACTGCCTAGTTAGCTAAATGTTTTGCATATTGAAAAATCAGTTTAAAGTATTTTCTTTTTCTTAGTCTAAATATTTTACTTTTAATTTTTATTATGCTTTCTAATATATATAATCTGTTGCTATATCTTATAAATAAGTGTATGTAATAGATTTATGTTCAAAATTCTTTATAGATATATTTTTTAATTTTTTGTGCATATGTGTGTGCCTGAGTGTATGTGTCTTAGGAAGGGTTTTATTGCTGTGAACAAACATCATGACCAAGGTAACTTTTATAAAAGAAAACATTTCATTGGGGCTGGCTTTCAGTTTCAGAAGTTCAGTCCATTATCATCATGGCAGGAACCCCTGCACAGATGCAGCCCATGGCAGCTCAGTGTCCAAGTGGGTTCCATATTAATGGGAACAGGGACTGTCTCTAACAGGAACTGATTGGTTCCTGCTCTTTGATCATCTTCCCTGAGGAAGGAGCAGCTTTCCCAGGCCACAGAGGTAGACAATGGTGCCAGTCCTGATGAGACCTGATAGACTAGGATCAGAGGGAAGGGGAGGAGGACCTCCCTTATCAGTGGACTGGGGGAGGGGACCAGGTGGGGAAGAGGGAGGGAGGGTAAGGTTGGGAGGGGAGAAGGGAGGGAACTACAGGGGGGGGGGATACAAAGTAAATAAACTGTAATTAATAAGATTTAAAATAATAAAAAAAAACAGGAGTCTTTAATAGAACTGATCTATCTCTTGTCAGGTGAAGCAATATAGAGCATTTCCCATGAGCCAGGGTGGAATAAGAACAAGAACTGGTAACATGGCATTGTTTTTGATTGTGGCAGGTGATGTCCTGGAGAGGTGGAAAGATCTTAATTGGTGTGGTGATAGCTGGATAAACATAAAACCATTAATACCCCAAGAAATACTAGAAAGCTAGAAACCAACTATATTTGATCTCCCATTCAACTCAGTTTGAGGACCTGCAGGAAAGGAACCAGAGCAAACTTGTCCTGGAATGTCTTCCCTCAATAAAGGAAGCCAATCGAAATCAGACATAAGCTGAAGGTCAAAGGTGTCAACGTGCAAGAATTTCCCAATATTGAAAAATGCATTACCATTGTTACAGTTATATTATTAATGTTTATTATTTTACCATCATTCTCGGGATACAAAAATAATGATAGGACTTTAAAACATCTCTCTGCATGGTGCTAGAAGAGCTGCAGGGCTGGCTGTGCGTCCATCCAGTAACAAAAGGAATACAAGTCTTCACAAAGACATATAAAAGTCATAGGGGGTAAACAACACAGTTTTCTCTTGTGCATTATCAATCTTACTTGTACAGATTTCAACAACAGTAGATAAGCTTCACATAATGAATATTATGTTGAACACTAGTTTATATAACATACATAATTTTATTTTCACAATGACACTATGAAACTATTACCCTCACTTTGCTTATGAGAAACATCTGCAGAGCTGAGGTTGCTTGATTTTGTTAAGTGGCTAATTCAAGTGCATCAGAATTTAATTTCTTTCCGCAAAGTCTTCTCTTCTCTCAGATATAACAATCACTGCACATACAACATGGAAATCATAGCCATATCAGTTTTATTAATGTTTTGCAGAGACATGCTATACCATATGATTTATTATGTTTCATTCCCAAAATAGGTCAATTGGACTACCCCACAACATTGCTTTCTTGAGTACATACTGTCCTCTTCTGCTTTTCTCCTTCTTTTGTAGGTGTGGGAAGCCACTACAGGGTCAAGTCCAGCTGAAAGGCCGTGACCTCCTTACCCTAAAGAACTTCACAGGAGAGGAGATTCAGTATATGCTGTGGCTATCTGCAGATCTGAAATTCAGGATAAAGCAAAAAGGAGAAGTATGTGACATTTGCTTTTTTTCTTCTCTTCTATTACAAACCAACAGCCCTTTTGGAGGCAGCTTCCCTAAAGCAGAAGGAAAAGAAAAACTACATTAACATTCCTGAATGGTAGCTAACTAGTGAAATCTCACAGGCAAGGTAATTGATTAGCACCGAGTGTATGTAAAGAAGCTTGAAAAGCAGTTATTCTATGACAAGTCCTTGTACATTTTTTTTTCCAACAGAATCCTAAAATTCATTAGCAACTGGATCCGAAACTGAGATATCATTGGTCTAGAAAGATTTTATTTTATACGTATCTTTTCTCTCTGTGTTTTCTATCAGTTAAAACTTAAAGATATGTTGTTGGTATTTTTTTTTTTTTTTGCAATACACTTCTGGCTATATATCAGATATGTCATCATTATTATAATATTCATAATGGTGAGATTATGTTTTGAAAAGCATTCCAAGTATAAAGATACAAGTAAGTTCTAGCCAAATAGGGGAAAAAATTGAATGTGGTGCTTAACTATAGGCATTGTTCTGCATTTTAAGCAATTTATGTTTCAAAATGCTAATGCAGTAGCATCATTTATAGTGCATAATTGTGAAAGCAGATTTGTATTCCAAATTTGTTCAAAGGTTGTTTGTTTGTTTGCTTATTTATGAGACTGGGTCTCACTCTGTAGCTTTGGCTGACCTGGAACTTACTATGTAAACCAGGCTGGCCTTGAACTCACAGAGATCCACCTGCCTTTGCTTCCCCAGTGCTGGATGTGTCTCTTTGCCTGATTCAAAGTGTTTCTTTTTTTAAAGATTTGTTCTCAGGTTGAGGAAGTCTGATATGACTCTGGCTTTCTTGTGTAATTGCCTAGCTCAATTGGCAAAGAGATGCTCCAACTGCTATGGGGTGATGTTCTTGCAGAACACTTGAAGTGAGGGAAAAGGCATTCTTAGGTCAGAGAACATTGCCTTTTCATGCTTTGCTGACTGGAGCCGAGAAGATGATACCACATCTTATCAGGAAGTCTAATAACACATGAAGATGGAGGAAGACTTTCAGGAGTGTTTTCAAATGACTTCCAGGAACAAAGCCTTTATGTTCTCTCATGAGGGAGACTGAGGAACATGAAACTAAACACCTGAGTTTCATCTGTGTCCTAAGTAGGATTCATGTTGTGACAGAGTAAGAACTTACTAGCTAAAAAGTCCTTCTGAATTAAACATCTTCAGTATCACTAAAATTGAGTGGAGATTTCAATAGAGTTAAGTAAGACAATGACTCTGGTGTAAAATATTATGCTCTGGAGCCAACTCCCAAATTGAACCCAATAATCAGTAGTACTGTATCTCAAGTATAGTGACATTCATCTGTAACCCTAGGCCTTGAGAAGGGAAGGTAAGATGTTTAAATTCAGTTTTAAACAACATTGTGACCACTTATTCAGAAGTAGTAGTTAACTGATCCAATTTTTTATTACCACTTTGAAATACAATTCATGATATTGGATCATAGGTATACCTTGCAGTTTAATAGTATTTTTGTCATTCGTTTTCAGTATTTGCCTTTATTGCAAGGGAAATCCTTAGGAATGATTTTTGAGAAAAGAAGTACTCGAACAAGACTGTCCACAGAAACGGGTAAGTCCACTGACAAGTTCACTCTTATGTTGAAGAGCTAGCCAGAGGATGGAGACTTGAAAGGCTTAAGCCAGTGGGGAGTTCTATGTATCTCTTAGCAACTACAAGAAGCAAATGCTGGGTGTCTTTCAATTCTGGTAAAAGCTATATGTAGAAAGATCAGCTACATCAGTAGGAAGCCTATGAAGCGTTGACTAGAATCTTCAGACATTGCTTCACACTTATGGCAAAATCTAAGTGGACACAAATCCTGAGGCCGTAAACTCATGTAGGAAATGTGTCTATTTTTAGTCATGAACTTTTTCTTTTGAACCAATTCTGTTAGATAGTAGGAACTTAACCTCTCCAGCATTAGACAGTCCTTATTTGTCCTGAAGTTCATGTTGTGGATATCTGGTCTTCTCTCCCTCTCTCCAGTTACACCTAAGTCCTGGTAGATACTAGTATGCCTAGATAGCTAGGGTTCAGCTAGTGTGCTTAGTCCTCAGGTCAACAGCATTGAATGTTTACACTGGGGCCTCCTGGAATTTGTATAGTTCTATTGTTTCTGCAGTTTGCTGCAGGGTTTGTTTCACTCTGATCACAAGACCTTATTAAGACTTTTGTTTTAGCTCCTGATAGTGCTCCACATTCCACTGGAGCAGAGATACCATAAGGCTATCTTTACCTAATTGTTCCTTTCTCAAGGACAATGCAGGGGAATTCTGGAACATTTACTGCCTATCAAAGCTCAGTATTAAAGGCAGAAAACAGATGTTCTCAGTATTGGAGTTCCTCAAACTCATATGAGGTTTTCATGTTCCCCATTCTTTGAAAGTTGGTCTGGGGAGCACACAGCATGTACAGTCACAATGGTCCACCTATTTCTATTACTGTTGCCTGCTTTGACTTCCAAATCTGTTACTGCTGTTTGTGCCTAGACTCCAGGCAGTCAAAACTCAAGGTGTTTTTTCATTTTCTAAAGATATTATCTCCACAATAAGTTTCAAGTAGTTTATCTTTAAACTTGCAAGCCACAAATTACCGTTTTTCTTTTTCTCTGTATTTCTTCTCCATCAGACCTTTATTGAATCAACAATGTGACCCAAACAAGGAGTGAGGGTTGAGAAAGAAGTGTCACAAAAACATTGGCAGATTCTTTAATTCTCAGATGCCTTACCCTTACTTAGAAGCATCATTGAGCACTTTCTCAGGCTTAAATTTGAACTCTACTATATGTGATTTGGTCCCATAGTAATTAATAATAAAGGTAATCAACTAGATAGCAAAAAACCAAAAGAAACAAAGGAAGAAAGAAAGAAAGAAAGAAAGAAAGAAAGAAAGAAAGAAAGAAAG